ATGTGTATGTGTTCAAACACATGGCATGGTAATAACTTTACATAAAATAATATTATAATAATATATTATATATATTATAAAATAGAAAAATTATACCTTGTCGAAACGTTGTACATTTGCTGTTATGTTAAACTTATATTAAAGTTTTTCTTCGTTACCCACTCAAGCCGTCTCCAACCATTATTAGTCTCAAAGTGGGTTCCTCGTCATCGAAATTGAATTTATTTTGTATATGTTTGTAATCTAGATACCTAGATAAAGTTTTGGTTTTGTTTTCATCTCTTACATTTATTGGCTGTTCAAGTATCACTATGATTTGATAATATCCACTACAGCAACGTTCTGGTACTGCTATCAGAGCGACCTCTAATTTTTTAAAGTAAAATTAAAATAAAGGGATTTTAGGTTCGCTGCCTAGTGGCACAGCGGTATGTCTACGGACTTACACCGCTAGAAACCGGATTTAAATACCCTTGGTGGGCAGAGTACAGATAGCCCATTGTGTAGCTTTGTGCTTAACTTTAAATAAACAAATTTTGGGTTCTTTCCTTTATTTTACTTCTTAAATTTAGCCAAATTTCGAACATTGACAATTATTAGCCCACAGTAGCCGATGGTCAAGCGATACGAGCATCGAGTTAGATACATTAAATGCATCTACATTTAAAGTTCTAAATCATTGTGTTCTATCCTGGTAAACCTCTTTAGTACAGATCATGATAAAAGATGGCGCTTCTCAGATGTACAGACGTAAACTCTCGAACTCATGTGGGGGTTTGTTTGTTTGTTTGTTTATAATTAAGCACAAAGCTACACAATGGGCTCTGGCCACCACGGGTATCGAAACCCGGATTCTAGCGTTGTAAGTCCGCAGACATACCGCAGTGCCACTGGGGGGGGGAGCATATGGGGTGTGAATATTTCTTAATTTAAAAAGAAAATACATAATTACTTCATTAACATTACAAGCAGGTCTAACTCTACACTACTGGTAAACCGTGGTGACTATTTATAAAATATCTTGATCAATAAATTACCCTTAACATAATAATGAGCCGATAAATATCAATATATAATATAAAAGTAGTGTAATTCCTGGGCTGCGTACCGGCAACACATTCACATACTCTACCCATCGTATTTTCATTGGGGTCAAGGCAAACAAATGTATTGTATGTTTGCTGCGACATATATGAAATCACCTCCGTCCGAACAAACTAATTCTCAGATATATTATTTATTACCCCCTCTGCATATTTTCTGGTACACGTATCCTTCCTCAGAGTATTTATATGCTTTCAGCGACTCGTAAGCACGAGTTATTTCTTTGGCAAAGGTTTTGTTTTGTTTCTTGAAGTCACATGCGTCTTCAATTTCTTTTTGTCAAAATCTGAGATCCAGATTAATTTTCTTTCCCACTTCGAAATCGAGCGTAAAAACCTATTTTTTTTTTTTAGTGAAACGATCTGGAGTTATTTTGTCCGTTTTGCAGTAATTTTTATGAAAAGATTTAGAAATACTAAACACAGTTAAGTGGAATAACTCGGCCCACAGTTTTTGTCAAATGTCATAAGTTCGCGCTCTCTTTCGGAAATTAAGCGCATGACGGAAGAAATAAATGGGAACAGTGATGGAAAGTTGTCTATTCTTATTTTTGTTAGAGAGAGTACAACGCTATTCAAAACTCGGTTCTACCAGTGACTCATCAATATTAGGTTTAAGAAATTATTTTGTAATTTTTAAAAGTTCCCTACTTACCACACTGACGAAGTCCTCAAAAGTGATGGCGGGAGTTTCGTGCTCCTCAGCTTTTGCCGCCAATACTTCCCTTCTGCCAGAATCAACTTGTTCCTGGAACTCGGGGGTTTCTAATGCCACGAGGAAGTCGTCCCAGGGGATCTCACCAAATCCTTCGGGGTCGTACTGAAACAACATTAAACATCTCATATCAAACTAGCTGAGCCAGGGTCGTACTGAAACAGCATTAAACATGTTTCATCGAACCAGCAGAGCCAGAGTCGAACTGAAAT